AGACAGGGTCTTGCTATGTAGTCCAGGCTGGCCTCGAACTCACAGCAATCCTCCTGCCTCAGCCTCCCCAGTGCTGGGATTACAGGTGGTGTGCATCACCACACCTGGCTACAATTTTAAATCAGGTGATCCCCTGCAGTGTTTCTAAAAAGGAAAACAACCGAAGCCACCACTTTCTCTGTGTTTGCCGTGCAGCATTTTCATCCTGAGAGGGCAGGGTGGTGTCCGGTGCCAATGAAGCAGCTCTCAGAAAACACCTGCTCATTGAGCAGGGGCCAAGCAAAGGCACGAAGGGGCCCCAGGGCCTCGCGCCCTCCCCTGCTCACCTGGCCCCTGCCTGGGGTTTCAGGTGGAAACTCGGCTTCCTCATTGGGCTCCGGGGCGATCTCTCCCCTCGGCCACACTCCACACAGGGGACTGGAGAGCTCGGCACCTGCCACTTCTTGTTTCTGGGAAGGAGAAGTTGTTTCTGAGGGCAGGAAAGGCTGGACTGAGGCGGGATGGAAATGGGCGCAGTGAGGGGCTGTGAAGAAAGCGCGATGTGGGGCTCAGGTGTGGAAACAGCACCGGGAAGGGGTCTGGGCCGAGCCGAGGTTAAGGAGAGGGACAGCGTGGGGTGGATAGGACAGGGCTGAGTCGGGGCTGGGTCAGAGTTGGGCTTGGCCTGGGCTTGGGCCAGCAATAGATGTGGGGTTGGGATCTGAGTAGAGTTTGAGGAGAGCAGAGAGCAGCAGCGTGACTTGGAGGTGCCCCAAGAGAGCTCTGGGGCCATGGGCCAGGCCACGCGTGAGCATCAGAGCAGGGAGACACTGGGGCTTCCGTCTGGTGGCCTCCAGCGTAGCCCAGGGGTGCCAAGCCTACCTGCCAAATGGCCTTGATCTCCAAGCCCAGCGATGCGGGCAGTGGCGTGGCCCAGCTGGCTCCTCGGGCCTGGGCCCCTTCCAGCAGCCTGGCCACGTAGACAGGAGGTGCTGCTTCTGTCCCGTCACTGCCTCCTGCCCACCTGGGCCCCACCCCACCCCACTCACTCATCTGGCGCCTCCTGGGCCTGACTCAGCTGCTCCTCCAGGTGAGAGATCTCCCGCCTCAGTTCCTGCAGGGGAGCGAGCACGCGGGCGGAACACGGGTTCTCCACTCGGCCCGCCACCTGGTCCCTGTTCACTTCCCCAGACTCCAAGCACCAAGGGCCGAGAGGAAGAGAGCAGGGACAAACCCTTGGGATGGCGTGAGACCGAGAGCACAGCCGGGAAGAGTAGGGGAGGCAGGCAGAGGTGGGACTCACTGAGGGGCGAGAGAGACACAGGGTGTGAGAGACTCAAGGACAAGAGCCCAGGGACACAGACTCAACCCAGAGGCAGAGCCAGCCGGAGAGAGAGAGGAGGGAAGGCAGAGTGAGGGAGTGGGGAAGAGAGGCGAAAAGGCAGGAAAGGAGGTGGAGAGACAGCTGCACAGCAGGGCGCACTCTGCGGGCTGGAAAGGAGATAAACAGACAGAGGCCGAGGGCCGCAGGGGGAGGCAGCGGCCCAGCCTGGGCTGTGGAGAGCCCTCACCTGCGCAGTGGCCCTGTACTCCTGCACCGTCTGCGCCAGGTTCTCCGCACGGCGTGAGCGCTGGGAAAGCACAAAGCCTGCTGAGCCCAGGCCCCCAGAAACAGGCTGCGGGTCATGGGGACTGGCTGGGGGCTGAGAGGGGATGGTCACAGCAGAGGGCTTCCAGGTCCCACGGGGACACCTTCCGACCTCTCTGGGGCAGACCGGAGAAGGGCAGATGGGCAAGGAAGGCAAGCGCTTCGCTCTCGGCCCTCACCTCGGAGAGGATGGCGTCCCGCTGGCAGATGAGGCTTTCACACTCATAGAGCTGCCGCTGCCAAGGAAGGAGCCTGTCCATCTCTCAGCCTCCAGGACGCCCTGGCCTTGTCCCCCGCCTGCCCCCCTCCGGGGCCTCTCCTTGGCCTCCCTGACACCCCATTTGTCGGCTACCCTGAGGGGGCTCAGCAGGGCCGCATGGAGCCGGAACTGGACAGAAGAGCGCTGCGCTCAGCCGGTCTCAGCGGCTGGGCCCTGGGAATGGGGAGCTGACCGGCACCAAGCAGAGGCAGCACCTTCAAAGTGTCCTTCTCTGTGGCCAGCTCCTCACTTCTCCTCTTCACTCCGTCCCGCTCAGCCAGCAGCTTCCCGTTCTGCAGAACAGCACACAGGACAGGCGGCTCTAGGGCCCAGTGACGCCCATGCTCACAGCCGGCATCCGCTGAAAACTCGGGGTGTCAGCCTCACACTAAGTACTCACTTTATAGGGGTGGCCTTTCAATCCCCCACCATCTCAGTGGGGCCTCAGTTCCGAGTTCTCTGTGAATGTGCTCCATCAACCCAAAAGGAGCCAGGTGTGGTGGTGCACACCTGTAATCCCAGCTACTTGGGAGGCTGAGGCAGGATGATCCCAAGTTTGAGTGCAGCCTGAGCAATTTAGGTGAGACCCGTCTCAAAATAGAAAGGGCCGGGGATGTAGCTCAGTGGTAGAGCACTAGATTCTGAGCTTAACCCTCAATATGGGAGCGGGGGCACGGGGGAGCAAGATAAAAAGGTCCTACCTCATTGGGTTGCTGTGGGATTAAATGAGCTATTAGTAACTTCGAACACTCACTGAGCACCTGGCATGTGTCAGCTCAGTTCTTAGTCCCCATTTTAAAGATAAAGGCAATTCAGGCACAGAGAAGTCAAGCAAATTGCCCAGGTCACCCAGGTGGTCTTCAGGCCAACCTTCACGAGCACCAACATTTCTAACGGTGTCCACAGTACTTGATCAATGCTCAGTATATATTTATTCAGATACTTTGCATTACAATTTTTTTTCTGAAACAGGATCTTGCCATGTAGCTCAGGTTGAACTTCCTATGTAGCCCAGGCTGGCCTGGAAGTTCCAGTGATCCTCCTGCCTCAGCCTCCTGAGCGCTGGGATAACAAGCATGTACCACCATACCTGGCTTAGTCTGAAAGAGGATCAAAACAAGGGCTGCCATTGCTTTAGGTTGAAGTGTGTCATTTCTTTTATTCTAACGGTAATTTCTATTGCCAGGTACTTTTTGGGCCCTTCCCCTGGCAGGAGCCAGGTCATTTGTCCTGAGGCATTGGTGCATTTGGATGTGGCTGGCGTCGTTCTTGCTGCCAGTGGTGGCAGTTGCCCCTACGAGAACACACCATGGGGCAGAGTGGGGCTGAGGAACCTGGCAAAGCCCACCCGGAGGGGAAGTGGATGCAAACCCCAGTGACGTGGGCTCAAATCCTGTGTCTGTGACCTCGGACTCTCCTCCACATCAGAGCAGTGCTGACTGAGAATGGGCCATGGAGAGAAGTGGCCTCACGCAGCACCGGTGGCTCAGGGAGAGCAGAGGTGGCCCCGGGGGGGGGGCCCAGTGCAAATGCGAGAGGTGGGACCCAGGAGGCCCACTGTGGCTCTGAGGCGACCCGAGAGGAAGCAAGGAGGCCAGAGGAGGGCAGCCCATGCCAGCTGCAGAATGGGACCTGAGAATGAAACGGCCAAGCACTCCAAGGCTGAAGCAGGAGGGCCGCAAGTTCAAGCCCAGCCTGGGCTAACTTAGCAAGTTAGTGAGACCCTATCTCAAAATAAAAAAAATAGCAAAGGGCTGATGATGTAGGTCAGCGTGAAGGCCCCAGGTACTGCCAAGCCAAAACAAAGCAAAATGGGGATTTAGCTCAGTGGCACCTCGCCTGCCTGGCAAGAGCAAGGTCCTGAGTTCAATTCCTGGTACAAAAACCAAACCAAAACAAAACCTCCAAAACAACCAACTGAGCCCAAGTCACAGTGTAATGTTTCTGTGCACCGTAAACCTCCCAAGCTGCACAGAGTTGAAGTGGTTGCAGGAGCTGCTTTCAGTGGCCGCACAGGCAGCTGAGTTCCCTCTAGCACAGCGCTCCCTCTGGTGAGTTCCCTTCGCCTTTGCTTCGCCTGCCAGGCTCCAAGTCCTCCATCAGCCGCCCTTGCTGGGTCTCAGCGGGCCTGGGCTGCCAGGTGAAGGGCGGAGGAAGGACGGGCGAGAGTGCTGTGTCAACATCTGTCCACCTGGTGGGGACTGCGGGCCGATCCGGCTCCTCAGCGGGCGCGGTTACTCAGCTGCTCCTGCGGAAACCCGAGCCAGACCGAGTCCTCCTTGGGGAGCGTGGCCCTTCAGAGCGGAGGGTCGCTTTACGCATTATCCTCCGTAAAGGTAACCCGAGAACTCAACCGATGGCCGCTCGGCTGGCAGCTGTGGCGCAGGTGGTGACCGAGAATAGCTGCAGCTCATCAGCGAGCCAGGGAGCACCCAGGGTGCCCAGCACTGCGGGCCGGGCCTGGCGCACGCTTGGCAGGGCCCTCTGCACAGTGAGAGGTAGGGACTGCTGTCACCACTCCCCTGCTCCCGTGGTCCTCAGGGATCCACTCTCATGTCTGAGGGCCGGGGAGTCCCAGCCCCAGCCCTGGAGGTAAGCGAAGAGGGACATCTTGGCAGATTCAAGGACCCCGCAGCCATTCTTGCCCCTTCTTGCTTATTTGCTTCCCGTCCTAGTGGTTAATGGCCAGATCCTCTCCCATCCTTCTTTGCAGCTGTGTGTGGGGGGTGTTATGTGATCCCTTTCCAGTTAGTGAGATATTAGGTCTATTGAGCAGGGCAACCGGCATCTGGAAAAATCCCTTCCTTCAGATGTGGCAGGAACCATTAGATACGTATTTGCTGGTGCCTTTTCTCCCTGCTTTGAATGAAAATGTGAGGTCAGGAGCTCTTGCAGCCATTTGTGACCATGAGGCTAGAAGCAGATGAGAAAGCCAGTGAGCCTGAAATCAATCCAGAGACCACAGCCTTCAAAACCTCTTAAGAAAATAAGTGTCCTTCAGGCAGAAAAGGTCCTCTTCCTTGGAACTGAAAATGTTCTGGACCCATCAGTATTCAGGTTATCTGTGTCAGGGAGCGATCTGGCTACAAGCTATAATGCTCACATTTGTGAGATGCGAGGAAGAGGGAGCTTTCCCTCACTCTTAGGTGTTGCGGAAGAAACCATCACATCCTGTGCGCACTCCGGGCCTCACACGGTGGCAGCCACCTGTGCACTTCCCATTGCCTCAAGCTGGGGCTCACGGAAGAGCCACGGAATAGTGGAAAAAAATTGGGATTTCAATGTAGAAACCCTGTACAGAGCTTTGGCAGGAATACATGATCGGCCAGGCCAGGCAGACGCTTAGAGCTGGGGAGCGTGCTGAAGCGTCGTGAAGACAGCGGAGCCGCCGTGGGGGCACATGCCTGTAATCCAGTCTGTAATACAGACTGCAGGACCACAAGGTGGAGTTCAGCCTGGGCAGCTTAGCAAGACCCTGTCTTAAAATAAAAATAAAACGTAGGCTGGAGGTGTAGCTTAGTGCAAAGGTCCTGAGTTCAATCCTCAATACTGGAGGAAAAAAAAAAGGAGGAGAGCGAAAATGAGCCTGGAGCCACCCCAGGTGTGTGGGATGCAGGGGTGGACACAACTGCAGAGCCCTGGGAAGCTGGGAATCTGAGATGCTCCAAACCCTGCTCAGTACAGCTCAGACCAGATGGGCAGGAGTCACAGATGGCTGTGTGCAGCCCGCTGGGGAGGCCCGAGTGCCCACAGGGAAGTGGCCCGACCTTCTTTGCCCCTGCAAGGGTGTGGAGATGGCTGTGGGTGCCACCAGCAGAGGCAGCGAGGACGGTGGGTGCAGAGAGAACAGATGGGACAAAGATCTGAGGCGTGCGGGGGACAGACGTCCGGTGAGGACCTGCTGTTTCCTGGAGCTCAGACACCACCTTAGGGTGGAGGAGCGGTCAGTAGCCGAGAACTCCATCTAGGGTGAATTCCACTTCCGGCTACAAGAACTAGTGGACCCAGAAAGAGCTAAGATTGCGATTTCTGTCTCGGGTGAAGTGGGGCTGGGATGAGATGTGGGGCTGGAGTTACTCGCGGAGGTAGGCCACCCTGCTGGGAATGCTGGCGTGGACCCCTCACGACAGCCCTACAGAACCGCTGTCTTCCTCCTGGCTGTTGGAGAATGAAACTAAAGCTTGGCGACTGGGGGGCCGCTCAGGGCTGGAGCCCTTGCCCTGCTCATGTGTGGCCCTGGCTTTCATCCCCAGCACACAAAACAAAACGAGCCTTGGAAAGGATAAGCCACATGCTTAAAAGTTGCCTGTTGTTGAGCGGCAGAGGTGGGATCCGAACTCAGGGCTGACTTCAAAGCCCACGTCCTTTCTACCATAAGCAGTGCTAACGGAAAGGACGCTAGCCAGCGCCTAGCAAGCACGTCCTCCATATCTACCGGTGTCTTCTGCTATGCTCACCTGTGTGGGTGAGGACACTGAACCCCAGCAAGGGGAACAATGGCCCACGGCCACCTAGGTGCTGCAGGGGAGCCAGGCACCGCCTTAGCCGAGGTCTTGTCAACCGTGCAGCTCTTACTTTGTCTGAGGTCGCCCAGGGCATTCAAACACTGTTAGAAGGCTGGAGTTTTAGGCCGCAGGCTACGGGGGCCTGGGGTGGCAGGGGGACAGGTGGAGCCGGGCCTTGGCTTACCTCCTCCTGCAGGGTCTCCAACTCTGCCACCAGGTGCTGCTGCTCCTTTTCCTGACCAAGCCCAAAGGGGACAAAGACTTCAATTCCAGCCTCTCTGCCCTTGCAACTCCCCTCCTCTGCCTGTGTCATTAAAGAGCTGGCTGGGATCTGGGCGTGGTGGCACAGGACTATAATCCCAGCACTCAGGAGGCTGAGGCAGCAGGATCGCTGCGAATGCCAGGCCGGCCTGAACTACACAGCAAGAACCTGACTCAAAATCCAATCCAACCCAACCCAGGGAAGGCAGAATGGCTCCTGCTGTCACTGTCATGAGGGTGGTAGGTAGGGCTGAGAAAGTAAGCAGGACCTGGAGCAGCTGCTCTGAGTCCAGAAGGGAGGTAAGGGGCCCAGCACCCACCGTCTGCCGGGCCTGGGCCAGGAGGCTTCGATTCTGCTCCTCCAGGCTCTTGGCCAGGGTCTTTAGGTCCTCCAGCTCCTCATCCACGGCCTTGGCAGACTGCAGAGCCTGCTGGGTGCTGAGCGGGCAGGGCCAGGAGAGCCACGTGAGGAGGGGAAGGCAGAGATGCAGAGAGATCCATCAGAGAGACAGCAGCCAGAGAAATGCCACAGTGGGAGGGGAGTGACAGATACTCAGAGCAGGGCAGACCAAGACACACAGGGAGGGGACAGAGAAACAGGGACACAAGGATGAGACAGAGACCTAGCAGGGGCTACAGAGACCCAGTTTCACCCTAAAGACCGAGGAGACGGGACAATGACCTAAAAAAAAAAAGCGAGAGACTAAAAGAGCAGGATTATGATAGACATGGGGTACAATAAGCAGAGAGGAAGGACAAGCTGGTGACAGAATCAGAGAGGAGAACAGAGGAGTTCCCAGTCCAGCACTTGGGAGGCTAAGGCAGGAGGATAAAAAGCTCAAGGGCAGCCTGAGCTACACAGTGACACTGGCTCTGGATTCAATCAAGACTACTTGCGGGGGGGGCACCTAAAGGAAAAGATCGGCCGAAACAGAAATGCTGGGGGTAGGAACCACTGAGACATGAAAGAGAAAGCCGAAAGACAGAAAGACAACCGAGGTGCAAGTGCAGTCAAAGGCGGGAGCAGGAGATGCAGGTGAGGCAGCCCACCTGCGGAGCTGCCTGCGCAGGGCCAGGATCTCCTCCCCCAGCCGCGCGGACCCCTCCTCAGCTGTCTCCACGCTGCGCTGCAGCTTGGCGTTCTCCCCGGCCAGGCGCCGGTTGCTGAGCTCCAGGTCCTCCAGGCTGCTCAGCAGGGCGGCGGTGGCAGGCCTGGGGGAGGGCAAGGAGGGGTCACTGCCGCTGCCCGCACCTCTCCCAGGTCGGTGGGTGCTGGCAGTGGGAGATGGAGCTGCACTGGAGAAACAGAAAGAGGATCCCGACTTCTCTGCTCTCCCCGAGTGTAGCAACACCCCTGTCCTTCACCCACGCCAGTCACCAGAGGACAACGAGCCCCACCCAGCCCGGGGAAGCTGGAGAGCACGTGCAGGGTGGGGAAGGGTTTGAGGATAGGTACAGCTCAGGCCTGGGGTCTTCGCCTCCGAAGCTCTCCAGGTTGGCTGGCTCCTCAGCTTCCAGGCATCCTGGAGGGGGACAGACAAAGGGGGCGGGGCTCCATGTGCGGCCTCCACCCTCCCTTGGTTCTGGGGTTCCCTGTGCTCCCAAGGCTGCCCTTACTCCCACTGAAAAGGCCTCAGGCTGGGTACTTTGGATAAACCTCGTCCTCCTTCCTCAGATCACACACTGGACAGCACCCCTACCTCCCAAATCCATTTCCCTCCCAGGTCTCCTGCCAGCCGGCAGCGGGGCTCCTCTGGTTCCTTCTCACAGGGCGGCTCAGGCCAGTCCCCTGCCCCAGCTCCCTGCTCCTCCCTCTCCTCTCTGGCCTCGTGATGTCTCCAGTCCTCTCCCCGCAGCCTCTTCCCCAGCCTTCTGGCCTCCAGTCTCTCCCTCCGTCCTTTCTCTCTTGGCCCAGTGCTGCCTGGCCTGGTCCCGTGGGCTCACAGCCCTCCCCTGCAAGAAACCTACACTTTCGGCTTTGTAAGGATGGAGAAATACAACACACACCCCAGAGCAGGGGTCTTTTGGGGGCCAGGGCCTCAGCCGTGCCAGACAAGGGCTCTACTGCTGAGATATACCCAGGACCCGGCCACCTTTCATGGAGCACCTCCTAGGTGTGAGGTCCTGGGCTCAGGGTGAGGAGCACACCCACTAATCCAACAGGAGGTCAGGGACTGCGCAGGTGACAACTGTGCCCCAAGGGCAAGTGTGCAGGTCTGAGTAGGCGGAGAGAGCAAGGGCCTCTGGCCCGGGCAGCTCAGGGCCGAGGAAGGTGCAGAGAATCTGGCTGGAAAACAGCCTGGGCACAGGCCCAGGTGGCACCTGTGTGGCAGGGAGCATAGGGCAGGAGGGGTTGAAAACCCCCAGGAAAAAAAAAAAGAAAAAACTCCCAGAGGAAGAAACCTAACCCAAAAGCTCAAGGAAGAATGGGGTGGCAGGCACACAGGCACCTAGAAACCCAAAGTCACAGTGCCAGGCAAGGGCAGAGGTCCTGGACACACGTTATGCCCTGCTCTGCCCCATGGGAGGTCCCCGCACCGGCTGACCCCGGGCCCACCTGATTCACTTTATATATAGCACTCACCAGATGGCAGCTGCCGGGAGGTCAGGGCTCCCTCAGAGGCAGTCTCCTCTCCCAGCTCTAATCCCCTGTATCAAAGGGACAGGCTTAGGGCCCCCTGCAGCCACCCCACCATCCTGACCTGCCCCTGCAGGGGGTTGTGGCTGGGCAGGGAGGGGCCAGGTCCGGTGAGGAAGGCTCTGTGGGGAGGAAGGTGAGGCCAGATGGCAGCGCCTGGGGCCAGATGGGAAAGCCGGAGGGGTGGGACTGGGTTGGGAAGGGATGCAGAGGACCTGTCCCTTCGTCTCCTCATTCAAGGAATTGGTTCTCAGTCCCCACCCACCTACTCCCACCCCATTTAATCACTTTTCTCTCCTCCTCTGCTGGTTCCTGGGCCTAACTAGTGCTGCCACAGTGCACAGGCGTGAGGCCAGATTTGAGGAAGGACTTCCCGGAAGGGGCTGGAGGTAAAGGGGCTCACCCATGCAGCTGGCAGGCAGCAATCCACTCTCGCATGACCACGAGGAAGGTGTCCAAGTCCACAGTGGCCCCAGGGCCCTCCCCACTGGGGTCCAGGCTTTGGGCCAATGTCTGGAGGCGTGCGTCCTGGGGGCCCTGGCCAGTCACAGACTCAAGGTAGGCCAGCACACGGGTGACAGCCACAGTGCCTGGGACAGAGCACACCGTGAGGGGCTATCGCAGAGGGGCCAGGTATAGTGCGGGTGCAAGATATTACTGTCTAGGCTGGTGGCATTCCTGCCCCACAGCCGGGGGGACACACTGGGCAAGTCCTTTTCTCTCCACTGAGTCAATTTTTCCACTAGTCAGCCAACCTCACCAAGTGCACCAGCGAGGAAGAGATGAGGGGCGCCACCCTTGAGCCCCACCAGGCCCCTTTCAAGGCCCTCCTTCTTCTGTCACGGTCCCCGGGTTCATCCCACCCCTCCATCCTCTTCCTTCCTGAATGAAGCTTCCCAGTCACCCGCTCTGCTCCTGTAGGACCCCAAGGAGCCCTTACCCAGTCCCCTTCCTGCTCCCACTGTGCCCAGCCTCCCCTCCCACCTGTCCTCTGAGGGTCACAAGCTTCAAACGTGGAGTTGAGTATCTGCTCCTCTAAGCTGAGCAGCGGCCCCAGGCTCACGTCTTCAGGCTGCTCCCAGAGGTAAACTGAGGAGACAAGAGCGCCCCCAGTCAGAAAGCAGAGAGGAAGGGGGCGACACTATCCTTGGCTCCTAGGCTCCCAGGGGAGGGGATTCAACTGTGGCTGCGGCTGGTGGGGAACAGCGAAGCTTAGGGTATGTGGATGTGGGGGCACCTAAAGGCCTTTGAGAGCCCCCTCTGCCCACCCTTCAGCCTAGGAAGTGCCCTGCTCTGCAAGTAGATAACAAGCTCTGAGGTTACCCGGGCCTCCTCACTTCTCCAGCCTCGCCAGCCAGCCGGGCTCAGAGCAGGCCGGGTGTGGGGGAGGACAAAGAAAGGAGGATTCTGGGAGGAGCGGACAGCGAGCCGACACTTCCCCCTCGGTCAGGAACAATCCGATAAAACGCGGGCAGCCCGCATCGATCCCACTGGCTGCATCTCCGGTCTCCCAGGCCTCCCCAGGGACCAGGTCTCTCTCCTCCCCGCATTCCCATGCAAGGCTCGCGTCACCAGATGCTGTAGAATCCTGGGCCAGAGCCCCAGGACGGGACGCAGAAGGGTAGCTGATCCCAGCAGGGTGGGCGGCGGCGGCAGGGGGTGTATCTGTGATCAGGAGCTGGATCTGGTGCCAGGCGTACCTGGCTGCCAGCCGTCCGTACGTGTGTGGTGAAGCTGCTTCTCCTTTGGAGCCTCCAACACCACACCAGTAAAGTGGGGGAGAGCGACTGCCAGTCACCAGGCCTGGGGGGCAGCTGTGTGGGGGCGCGCGTGTATCCCGAGGGGCTGCCTGTCCACTGCTAGGTCTACGCTGCCTGCACGCAGCTGGCCCTCACACACGTTTCATGACACAGGAAGAGATCTCCACGAGGCTGTCCCCATTGCTCTCCCAGAGCCCCCAGCGACCTTCCAGGTCCCCAGAGAGCAGCTGACGGCAACTTCCTGAGCATGGGCTGCGGGCTGGGGAGCCTGGGCTCCAGCTTGAACATGGGGCAGTGCCTGCGGCAAGCGACTCTGAGCCTCAGCTGCTCCCTGGGGTGTGGGACGGTGCTGCCTTCCCGGGGGAGGGTGTGTGGAAGCTGAGAGGCTGGGGGGAAGGCCCGGCACGTGGGGGAGACCCACTGGCAGAGTGGACACTTCGGAGCGTTTAGTAGGTGCCAAGCCTCTTCTGAGCCTCACATGAACACAGGAGGTGGCGGCTCTCCTCAGCCCCACTTTACAGATGAGGGGACTGAGGCACGGAGGATTCAGGAACTTGCCCAGGGTCCCCTGTCCAGCATGGGCACCCCTTTCCCAACCTCCTAACTCCTTGTGAGCGCCACCGGCCCCCGCTGGCTGGAACCGTAGGCAGTGGGAAGGCGAGGGTAGGGAGGCTGGGCTTCACCTGCATCCTCCCCTCGGCCTGTGTCACGGATGAGGACTCGGTGCTCCAAGTGAGGTCACCTGTCACACCTGCCAGCCAGGGCCAAGCTGAGCTGGGTGATGGTGGCAGCTCTGGGGACTGGCATGTCTGCAGCCCCTCCCCAGGCCCCTGAGGGAGCTGTCACTGTCTCTGTCCTGCCTTCTCTCAGGGCCTTGCTTCCTTAGTGTCTCTCTCTGCCCCGCCTCCTGTCCACTTTTCTCTCCACCTTTTCCTGTCTCTCCCCCCACGTCCTGTCTCTGCGTCCCTGGCCCACTTTCCGTCTCTCCACCTGTATCTCGAGACTCTCTTCCCAGCCTCTTCACCCTTTGTCCCTCTTTCCCCTGCCTTCCTGTGTCCACTGCCCCTCTGCCATCCCTGTCTCTGTCACCTTCTGGGTGTGTCTTCCCCTTGCTGCGGGAGCCTCCCAAGCTGGCGGAGCCCCTGCCTGTGGTTCCTGGTGGCTGTGCGCCCTCTGGCGGCGCAGGTGACAGCTGGTCAGCCCAACTTCCGCCTCCGTGTACTGTGTGGGCCTGTGACCCTCTGTGCAGGCTGTGCTGGGAGACACCAGGGAGCCTGCAAAGAGGGCGCCCTGCCTCTCCTGTCAGAACGGGCTCCCCTAAGGGCGGGAGTGGTGGCCCGGTACTTTGCCCTGAAGCCGGCCCTGCCTCCATCCGTGGGCTCTGCACAGACACAGTGACGGTTCCTGCCGTGTCAGGCAATGCGCCAACTTCTCCTTATGGCTCCTGAGCACCTGAGCGGGCGATGGGACCTGGGGTGCTCTGTTAGTGTCAAACACACTGGATCTTAACTGTCTCGTTTGTAAGCAAAGTCTCAGTACATTTGAATACTGGTAACAGCAGAAGACACAGTTTGGGTAAACAAAGTTAAAAATATATTATTGTCATTTGTCTTTTCCTTTGAAATAATTAAGAATTACATGTGTGGGCCGGGGATTTAGCTCAGCGGTTCGGTGGCCTGCCTTGCAAGCGCAAGGACCCGAGTTCAATCCCCAGTACCAA